AGCATCTTTCTATAAGAAACTTATCCAGCCTCCTACTTTCCCTTTAAATCCCATCTCTCCTCTCTCCAAAGTGTGGAACACAAGAGCTCCTCCAAACGTTCAGTATTTCAATTGGATAGCTGGCTGTCAAAGGGCCCTCACACTTAATCAGCTCCAAAAAAGAGGCTTGCCACTCCCAAACAAGTGTGTAATGTGCCTGAAAGAGGAGGAGTCAAACCCCCACCTTTTTCTACATTGCAGTGTGGCTTATGAGCTTTGGACACTGATTCTACACTTATTTAGTCTCAAATGGGTCCTCCCGCATTCGGTTAAAGATTTATTTCTTCATTACTCAAGAGGTCCTTGGCCCAAAGCAGGTAGAACCTTGTGGAGGGCAGCAATCGCTGCTATCGTATGGGTTTTATAGATAGAAAGAAATGAGAGGGTCTTTCAAGGACACAGTAGTGAAGTTTCAGGGCTGTTTCATAAGGTTACATCACTCGTAACTTTTTGGGCTTCCTATGAGTTCTTTTCTCAGGCAATGGGACATTATTATCCGACTCCAGCCTTTCAAGCTACAGCGACCTCACAACTGGTTACCTCCTCCAAAAAATGCCATAAAGCATAACTTCGATGGTTGTTCCTTGGGAAACCCGGGTCCTTCAGGAGTAGGGGGAGTTTTCCGCGACCACAATCGAAATGTTCTCATGACATACTCAGAATATGTCGGACATGGAGATTCATAATTTGCAGAAGCATTGGCACTTCTAGTGGGCCTGAAATTTTTTAATCCAACTTGGGGCCAATCCTTAGTGTTGGAAGGAGACGAAAAACATTCTATCATGGGCAGCAGGCACCACCACCCCTCCTTGGTACCTTTCTAGAATTTTTGATGAAATTTACCACTTATGCAGGGATACCAACGTCTGTTGGACGCATACTCGTCGAACGAGTTCGCCGACCTCCTCGCTAAAGATGGTGCACGACGACGACCACACATGGAAGACAATGAATGGTCCACTGCCTTTTTTGCATTGGACCATCGAGGTCTTCTAGGACATTAGATTTTTTGGTTGTTGTTTTTTGTAACAAGGTGTGCATATAAGCCCAATTTTTGAGACCTCAACCTTTTGGTTACAGCCACTTAAAAGGATATAGGTTGTATACGGTGAATGGCTTAATTTTTTGACTCAGATACCTGGCTCGTGGGTATTCTCAGTCCTCTCCTCCCTCTATCTACTGTATTCCTTCTTTTTATATAGTAATACAATGTTAACATTATCAAAAAAAAAAAAACATGAAAAAGTTTAGTATTCATAATACCGAACTTTCATAAGGAAAAAAAAAACAAGAAACTAGTTCTGCTACTATCAGTACCAAACTGGTTTTTGTTAAAAAAAAGATATCGTTCGGTATTGAAAGTACCGAATGAAACGCTAAACTAAGACAATGTTTGGTACTCCCAATATCAAACATTATTTTTGCAATTGTGAGGCTACAACCTTAGTTTGGTACTCCGAATGCCAAACTTAAGTGCATTTTGGGAAAAGATAAGTTTGAAATAAAGGGACGTCCATGTAAAATTAAAAAAATTTAAGTGTTCCTAAAAATAAGGGATATTTACGTTAGTTTCCCTAAATTATATTTTGATGGAAGCTCAATCAGGAATCCAAGCACAGCAGGTGCTGGAAGGCTAAGTGATGTCATGAAGGAAAAATACTAATTAAATTTTCAGACCCATCACCTGTTTGTGATTCAAGTTTGGTGGAAGGACAAGCTTTATTCAAGTTAATTAGTAATAGAGGAGGATTTGAAGAATGTAGTCCGATAGGCAACGGGATATAGAATGTCCATGGGAACCTCCAAATATCTTCAAGGGAAAATTTTTTACATGTTAGTAGGATCAGGATGTCTTTTATTCAGGTATGGAGAGAGAGGCAATGAATGACTGATCCTCGTTGGTAGTTACATAATTTTCATTGTTTGTATTAATCCATTGGATGAGCGACATTTCTGTAAGAAATTACAATGTAAAGCTCAATCTTTTGATTAATGAAAATACCGTCACCAATCGACAGAAAAGGATTAGGATTATGTGAACAGATTGGAGGAATCTACAAAAAATAGCAGAACTTCCATGAAGTTATTAAAGGTTGAAAAAATAAGGTTTAAAGGAAATATGTTATCTATAAAGATGCCTCTGATTATTACAAGAAAAAAGAAAACAAAAAAAAAAACCACATATAAGATCATAAATGAGTGCTCTTGATAGAGAAGAAGAGAGGGAACAGTTGAACAGATTTTGGAGGAGAGAGGCTGAAGGATGATGCTTTAGATTGCTTGTAAGGTTGAAGGCAAAGGAGATCCTGTTAAAGAAAAAAAGTGAGAGCCTTAGGCTGGAAAAGGGCATTAATATGAAGAATAATTGTTCTCATGACATAGTAGACAGCCTAGATGAATGAAAATTTACGTTGGTACATCATACTAATGGAGTTAGTATAGAGGATGGGACAAGATTGAAGAGGTAGAATTGGATTTTTTTTTTTTTTTCAAGAGTTTATATTCCACAAAAGATATAATTTTGACCATCTTTGAATAGCTTGGAGTTCAGAACCATACCCAGGAGGATAAGTGCAATAGAGCTAGTGACGCTATTTTCAGATCATTCTAGTGATCTTTACTATGCTAAGGTTAAAGGATCCAGGGCACTAACAATTTCCCAGTGACTTTTTTCTTAGCACTATGGCATTTGACCAAGCCAATCTTACACTAAAGACGAATCCAGCTGACAGTGAAATAGAGGAGCAGGTGACCCTGCTGGAGTACATCCAAAGACTTCCACTAAAGATACAGGCGAAAGAACAAGGTTCTGTGGAAGTCCAGAGGAACTAGGTAGTTCAAATGGATATGCTAAGTGTCAGATACTCACTACTGATCATCCTTAGTACAGAGGATTTGTTGGCCATTGTTTCCTATGCAAAGAACAAGGATGTTAAGAGTGGACCATATCTTGGTTCAATAGAATTATAGTTCATCCTTACATAAAGCTATGTTACGTTTGTTTGGCGTTTGGATTGGTTATGCCCAATTCCTTGCATGCATCAACAGGTACAAAATGGAACTCTAAAGATCAGTTTCAATGGTAGTCCACCTTCAGTAAAGTTAGGAGAATTTTAGAGAGGGAAGATAGGATGTTTTTCCCAAAATGTAAGGAACAAGAAGCGTCCTTTGGGCGCTGCAACATACCCTGTCAACAAGGTAAACACAGTTACTTAAAGAATCAAGGACGACGATAATTGGATCTCAGCATTAATTCGACAATGCACTATAGGAAACCCAAACCCACTAAGTTTGGGATTTTACTTCCTACAATAAATAATAATGAAGAGAGCTTTAAAAAGCTATCTATGTGTTTCTCTAGGCAATGCATACTTGACTTGCTCTGAGGTAATTCAAACCTTGATAAGCCATTCTTTAAGGATCACACCTAATAGACCAATAGGGGCAATTTCATTCACACGTGAGCAGTGATCCTAACCACAACTAAATCAATTAACCTCTTCAAACATCGATATCCCTTCTTTTGAGACAGAACCCATGAAGAAATGAGCTATGAAAAGTGAAGTTTTAGTAAGAGATGAATGTTTCCATGGCACTTCTCGGTGCAGCTTATGCCTAAGTCTTGCATTATCTTCATGCGAAGCACCTTGAATCAGTGCTCTAAAATGCATGATGTGAACCCGATGCGGCAAGATGCAAGCACATCACCTCTAATGTGGTCAATAAATTAAAAAAAATTAAAAAATAATAATAATGATGCATAAAAAACAATATAAATGTTACTTATCTGACAGTAAAATAATAATAATAATAATGCATAAAAAACAATATAAATGTTACTTATGTAATAGTAGGTATTTTAATTTATTTAATATTTATAATATGTTAGTTGTTAGCGACTCGGAGTCCTTAATAGCCTAATAAAGAGTAATAGAGTTTGTTGTTCTAACTTCTAATCTTTTATAGTTTAAATGTCCAACACAATTAACATGCAAAATAAAGCAATCCATTGCATCTCATATAAAACATCCAAAGTTCCAAACTTTAAACTCCAAAGAGGAAAAGACCAAAAGTTTATGTTGTATAAAGCAATCCATTGCATCTCATATAAAACTTCCAAAGTTCCAAACTTTAAACTCCAAAGAGGAAAAGACCAAAAGTTTATGTTGTATAAAAACAAAAGATAATCAATTCTCAATCAAACAAGTCATCAAATACTTGAGAGAGCGCATTTTTTGACAATTTCTCCCATGCTCTTGACACAAACATAGAGAGTGCATATGTGGGCACATTGCTCATGATCTAATGCAGGCAATGAGGCCGCATATGTGGGTGATTTGCAACATATGCAGACACATCACATTTTCTCGCATATGCGGCCTAGAGCTATGCGCTCCAGGCTGCATAATACATTATGCGGCCACATAATGCATTATATGGCTGCACTTTTAAAAATATGCCATGAATAATTTTTTCTATTCTCATGTATGAAAAAAAAAAGTTTTTTTTAAATAAATGGAGAAATAGAAAATGGAGAACAGTAGTAATGCAACATTGCAACTAGATTCATGCCATGAGAGCACTTGCCCTTCCCTTGTACAGGTCCATGATGTTGACGTTGATTATGTACACCATGAACTTCCAAGGCTTCATCAATGGCTTGTTTCAAGGTGTTACCAGTTACGCACTTCTTCATTTCAACAACCAAAAGCCAAAAGGGATTTCATCTTGCACTAATAACTTATCAAGAAAATTCAAACCAGGAAATATGAAAATAGGCAATCTATTTTGCCCGTGAAATGACGATTAGGAAAGATCGACTACACATCACAATTTCATAAAGCTTGCACGTGCACAGAGAGAGAGAAAGAGATGACTATTTCCCCTGATTCTAAAGGATCAAGGAATTTTGTTTCTTCAAATGCAGCAGACATAAATTGAGAAGGTAACAAGAATTCAACCTGAAAGAGGGACCTTTGTAATCTTCTGCTCTCATATGTGTGACAGAAGGAAGGTAATGCACGTTGTTTATGGAGAAGTCGGAGCTATCATCACCTTCTCCATAAATACTGCAATCAAACTGCAAAACACTACTCAAGCTGGGCTTTGCTATGCATACTTTCATCGAAGCCTTCATGTCCAACAATGTCCCATCACCACGACAACCTTCAGGACCCAACAAAGAAGAAACTGCAACATCCTCTTCTGAGCCATTCCTCCTCCTCAACAACAGATCCTCTGATTTGGGGTCATCCCATTCCACCACAAAATCCCCAAATAAACCACCTGGGGCCTGTTCGAAAATTTAGGGGCTGCCACGGAAAAGAAAACAAAAACAAAGAGAGAAAAGAAAAACTTGGCAACTATAAAGGGATCCTAGTTTCGGGAAATCAGCATGCACGAGCAAGTTATTGTGCCTTACAACCAAATGCACAAATGAACACCCCAATTTCTATTAGAGTTTCATTAAAGAAAGGTTTGTGAACCAGACTAATGCGGAGAACAAGAAAAGCCCAGTAACTGTAAATTCGGAAGATAGTTTCTGAACTTAGCTACTGAATGCAGCACTTTCTAAGAAATACTCAGCCTGAATTCCTCAAAACTTCTCTCTACATGCTTGAAGTCGAGGAGTTTTGAAGAGTGGTGTATCCTTCCTCACCTGAGATGGATGTTTGGAAAGCTCATATTCAATCTCGGATTGGAGGAGCTGAAGGAGATAATGGTTGTTGATGTTAAGGGAGGAAGCAGCTCTGGAAGCAGCGGCCATGACCGCCCTCGCCAACTTTGCCATTGCTTCTTGCGCTCCGGGTCCTCCACCCTATAAACCCTATTTTTATATTTTCAGTACGAAAGCCCTCAAAACGGCACATTGGCAGCTGCCTCAGTCTTTAACTCCTTTAGAAGCTCCATTTTTTTTCTCGCTCTCGCTCAAGCTTTCTAAACGGTAAAACCGTTAGCCTGAAGCATAGTGTTCTTCCGGCTTCTTCCGATGACATTCCGGCCCGTAAGTTTTCTATTTTTCAATGAGTGTAGTATCCATAAGGTTGCAACCTTAAACAACCCAATTAAGGTGCACCTCCAAATTTTATCATTTTGGTGTAAAAAACATTAGGATTACCTTAAAATTTATTTTCATATCAAATTATAAAATTTTAAACTCCAAAAATGGTTAAAATCATGTACAAACATATGAAAATCTTGAAAATTGACAGTCCACAGATAATGTGTTGCAAGATGCATTATTTTTGGTACTCAAAATCTTTTTTCTTTTTTTCATATATGATCAATTAGAGGGTTTTTCAACATTAAAACAAGATTTTAAGACAAGATTTTTTAGGTACATATGTAATTCTACATTTTAAGGTTGCCACCTTATATAAACTTTTTTTTTATTATTATCTACTTTTCTAATATTTAATAATATTAATACTTATTAATGGATGCAGTTTGTATAGAGCTGAAGCCCTAAACAATCAAAGTAAAGTACACTTTAAATAGTGTCGAGAAATGTGGTTTTGATAATGGAAATCTATATGATAGCCTTAAAATATATTTTTATCACTAATTATAAATTTTAAAGCTTAAAAAATGGTGTAGATCAAGTGGATCTATGAAAACTTGAGAATCTTGAAAATTGACAGTCCAAAAATACGTTACAAGATACACGATTTCTAAAATTTGAAATCCATTTTTTTTTCATGTCTATGCATCTTGAGGTCAAGATGATCAATTTGACAATATTTGGACATCGTAACAACCTCTTCGAGGGGAATTTTTTGAGGTACACCCTATTTTGATTGTTTATAGCCTCGCACTAATATAAACTTTTTTTATTATCAATTTAGGGTTTATAAAATACAAAAATATAAAAATAAGTTAAGAAATAAGAACTAGGGTTACGTAATTTTGTATTATTTTTCTCCTTGTAGTTTCAATTTTAGGTTATTTTAAAGGTTTTTTACAATTTGTAAAACCCCTCCAAATATTACCTGAGAATTTAAAAAATAGGAGAGAAAGTAAAAAGCCCTCTACGTTTGGTTTATGCGTAAATATTCCCTAAGAAATATTTACATATGTAAATAGAATTTCATAAGTTTGGTTTGTACATAACGCATATAGAGATACAAATGCATGGTAAAAACTTTTACCATGAAATAGCTAATTCATGATAAAACAAAATTGCATCTATTGAAGTGGGAAACATTCCCCCTTAATTTGTTTGAACTTACTATTCACTATTCACTGTTTACTATTGATGTAGGAGAACTTGAAGAAACCTAAAAAAAATAGTAACAAGCACACATTTTTTGAAAAACCTTAGGTTTCTCTTCCCGAGGGCTCAAGCCTTACACTTCTTTTACAAGACAAAAGGCTTTTTTTTCTTAAAGAGATATACATGAATGACCTTCAGGCTATCCATGCCCTTATTTATACTGAAAAATAATTGTTTTGGACAATATTTGCCCATACAATTAGCTTTTGACCAAAAGGTCATAACTTAATTATAATTTAATAATAAACTTCTTAACTTTAATTAAAAGATCTAAAAAGTTCCTAACTAGCCCAGCAATGAAATAAATAAATAAATTTGAAATGTCTTAAAAACTTAAAAAAATACCAAAATTATTTATTGATCTTCTTGTTCTTCTTGGAAGCCCTCATAGAATTTTCATCCTCCAAATATGAGCAAAAATTAGGAGGACTCTGTCGCTCCCATAGAAGATACCCATGATCTCGAGTTCACATCTTCATTTTCATGCATCTTCATACCATGATACTCTGACAGATCAGCAATGTTGAAGATGTCTGAAGTCTCCATGTGTGAAGGCAAAGCGACCTTGTAAGCATTGATGCCCATCTTCTTCAAAATCCTAAATTGTCATGCCTTGCGATCATTCATCATGCCGTATTGTCCCACTGGATGTTGTTCCTTCCTGGGATACACCATTACCTAGTGTCCTGCATTAAACGGTTTGAAATGACGATGCTTGTCTATTCCTTCTTTGTATTTGATTGTATTGGCTTCTAGACTAGCATGCATTTATTCAAGATTCCTCCTAATGTCCTTGAACATTGAATTATAATATATAAGGTGCGTGGGCCCCTGAGAGGGTCAATTACACATGATTTTTAGAAATTGAAAGAGATAAAAGCTTTTGGAACCCAAGGTTGGGGTAAAGAGGGTAAAATTCTTCTTATTTTGTATTTTAATTCAATTTTGCTGATGTATTTTGTAGTTTTAGTTTTTAGTTTTAAGATTTCTAAGGTTTTTGTTTTTTGATTTATGATTCACAAGTACTATCCATAGTATTGTTTACAGTTACTGTTCATGTATTACTATTCACGTGTTACTGTTCACAAGGTATTTTTAGAATTTTGATATTGTTTTAGGGTATTTTAGAGTATTAATGTTTACTTGGATCTCAAGTTGAATTAGGGTTTTATAGGTTTATAAAAAGTTGGGTGTCATAGTTTGAGATAGAAGGTTAAGAAGAAGTTTTTCTTCTCTTGATTTGATTTACAGCCATGTTTCTTCTATATTACTACTGATTTTACTTGTTTAAAGTTCAAGAAAATGATGAATTCAATTTCCCACATTTTCTCCCTGCATCAAGCGGTATCAGAGCATGGTTTGAGGACAACTGGATATTGCGATAGCTTGTCGTGGAAGTCTTAGCCGTAGGGATGTCGATCTGATCCAACTGGGCAATGAAATCAACAACTTGATAGAGAGGATTACGGAGTTATTGTTGCGCAAGCGGGGTCAACAATAGCATGCCTTAACAAAGAGGAATCTACAGGGATAGATCCAAATCGTTAGGGTTTTTATGGAGAATGACGCGAATCAGAGTCTGACTCAGAGTTGGAGTGGAATTATGAAGCTGACTTTGACCACCCGTTCTATGTATACGCTCCGTGTTGGGAGCCTCATGTTCGGAAGAATAAATCATGGGATTTAGTTGATCTACATGATTTGAAGGAGGATGAAGTTGATTTTGGTGTAAGCCATATCGAAAATCAACAAGTTGTATATTGGGATCTGCCACCAATTTTCGATATATATTTAGATGATAAATGAGATATTGTAAAAGATCCAATCTATGATGATCAAGATTTCGTAGGTGAAGAAGAAAATGATGAAGATCTTAAGGATATCAAAGAGGTGAAACATTGTAGACACCACATTTTCAAATTAACAAATTTTGTCATATTCCTGACCCCTTAAGACCACAATATTCCAGAAAACCCTCGAACCATAAACCACCATAGTCCGTGATCCCTATCATGTGAACCAAAATCTTGCAGGACAACTATTTTACATATAAATCAAATAAAACTAACAAAACAACCTATTTTCCCCCGAGTTTTGGCAGGCAATATCACAAACACGTGTGAAGCACCCCATAATCATAAACTGCTAATTTTGGTCAAATTTGGGTTGAACGCCTAGCCCCTTTGACCCCCCAAAAACTGAATTTTAGCTGACAGATTTGGATGTTTTTAGTAGAGTTATCATTTCACATGTTTTTTGGGTCATTTAAAAACAATATTCTCGAGATTCTTTAGACCTGGTTAGCCCAAGAGAGAGAGAGAGAGAGAAAAAAAAAGCTTGGAAAAAGAGAGACGCCAGAGAAAACTTGTGAGAAACCCTAGATCTAAGAAAAACCCTAGCAAACCCTACGCTTAGATCATATCCAAGAAAATGATTCAACCAAGCCAAGGTTGGTCAACATTGAAGAGGGACAAAGAGGACGCACGGGAGTCCTAGACCAACTGGCCCGGTCTGGTATTTTTTTTTACTCTTTCTACATTTATTTTCTTTTATTTATTTATTTTTTTATTAAAATTAAATTAGTTTTATTGAATTTTACGTAGTATTTTGCATTTCAGATTGATGCTAGCTCTGCCACTGATTAGAGCAGATCTGCTCATTTTTTAGTAGATCTGGTCTCATATAAAAATTTGATTATCCACACTCTCTATCACTCTTTTAAAAAAATAGTTTGTGGTTTGGATCCAGTCGATTCTCATTTTGAGATCATCCCGATTTTGCACTGTAAATAATTTGGCGCCCACCATGGGGCATGGGCATTTCAAGCTAGATATGTGTACGGGGGAAAAAAAAAAGCCCAATATCTCATTTTCCAGAGCATGCTTTTTTAAAAAAAATAAAAAGTTCTTTTGGGTTCCCTTCGTTTTTTAATCGAAATGAAGGCTTGGAACATCATAGATCGTGCCGGATTGGAGGTCGAACAATTACAAGTTTATAGAACTTGGCTAGATTTTGGGTTATTTCTAAAAAATTTGTTTCAAGACGATCAAAAGGTGTCAAAACATGCGCAAAAGTTTAAACATCGATTCTATGATGATTGATCACCCGAATTACTACCATAAGTGTTCAAAAAAGCTCTCGAGGCCTAGCAATGACAAGAGGCTCCCCATGGAGGGATGAACTTGTCATTTGTGGAAAAGTACCTTAGGGCATTTTGGTCATTTGGTAGAAAAACAGGATTAATATTTTAATTTATAAAATGTGTATTTTTTGACAATTTTGAGTGTTTTTTGGCATTCTACGAACTCAAGTCATTTGTAATGAACCTCTTGAAAATTCTTGAATATTTGAACATTTTAAAGTGAGATTCTTGAGTTCTTAGCTTCTTCTTTTACTTTAATTGCAAGTTCAAGATCAATATGGGAGGAGAGAGAAACATTTCTTAGAGATAGAAAATACCCTTAGAACCCTACACTCCCAAGAACCCCAAAATCCCAACTACTTTAGGATTTCCAACTCCCAACCCCATACTCCTTAGAACTCTTACCTTTTATACACCCCCCCACTCCCAAGCCTACTCCATACACATTACACCCTACCTTAGCTTGCCTACACCATAGGCTACA